CTCCACCAACACAATACAATATGTATGCCCAAAGTGCAGGAAAGGGAGTGCATTTACAGGAAGAACCAATGAGGGTGATTTGATAGCCAAAACCACAGTAACTCTAGATGCAACGGTGGCTCATGAAAGGGTGGAAAATTCGTCTAGGTCACCGAACACAATGTTGGTTTAATGTCCACCTCTGGAACGATGCCCAACACTTACATCAACACCCAAAAGTGAGGTGACTACACCAAAGGCGACGAGGAGTCGAGAGGTCATCAAGGCAACGGCTACACCACCTCGCAACCCACACTCAGCAGCAGCAACTTTCGATACACGGAATAAAAAAGAATCCACTTCTCGTGGCACCTCAATCCCAGCCTCTGTTCGTGAAGGCAGTAGGCGGACCATTGTCATCATCTTCGGAGTGCCTGAAAGTTCAGATCAAGCACTACGGAATTGGGATTCTCACGAGTGAGACATGATGGTCTCGTTGCTCCAGTTGTACCAGGTGTACCAGAAGGTAAAGCTAAGGAACAAAGTCATATACATGATTGTGAACAGTGGGAATACATACTAGAGAAATCTAGGTTATGTAACGTAGCGGNAGCGGTCGAGAGAATCGTGAGGCTCCCAAGACCCTCGCACCTCAGCAACCTTTCTTCACCCCGGCTCATGAAGATCATCCTCTTCAATGAGGAAATGAAATATCAGTTCCTTGAGGAATGGAGAAACCTAAAGCACTCGCTCCCACCAGAAGTGAAGTGTCATGTATGCCAGCCATGGTAAACCGCGCTGCCATTAGGACTGTTTCCGGCGCGACCAACGAAGTACCCCTCCTTCGGTTATCACTGATTCAGGATCCAAGGACAGCTACTAAGCCCAACTCCAGCGTAGCAGACAAAAAAACGGCTAGAAGCCGGCCACATCGTGGGCGGGTTAAGTCGCTCCGAGAACAGAGAGGGCACAAGAAGAGCACTCGTCATTACTTTTAAGACAGAGGCGATCGGCTGTATCTACACAAACTCGCACAGCCTACTCAATAACATCCCGGAGCTGAAGCTACTGANCACGAGAACACACTGGATTCCGACGTTGTGATTCCTGGAATGCATATTTACCGAAAGTACAGGTCGAAAGGTAAAGGCGGGGGAGTCATACTTTACGTAGCTCACAGCCTTCAATCCCAACTGGTGACTGATTCTTCCCTGAATGAATACCCTGAATGTCAGTGGGTCTCCATCAAAACCGAGGGCTCACAAGCAAACTTAGTGGGGGTTGATTATCGACTTCCAAGCGCTAGTGCAACCGAGGACAACCAGATATTAGCTTGCTTAGGAAGGTCCACCGAGCTAGGCCACAACAACGGACTAATCATGGAGGACTTCAACCTCCCCTCGATTGACTTTGCGAGTCACACAGCCCATGGCCGAATCCATGCAGGTATGCTTCTTGGAGTTGTGTTTCGCATTGGGTCTGGAGGAGCACGTAACAGGACCTACCAGGTGGAGTCACGAGGGCACACCATCCAGACTGTGTTGTCCAACGACCCTTACCTGGTTGACAACGTACTAGTGCACTACCCTTCGGGAAAGAGCAATCACGGTACCATAGGTTTGAGTTCTTGATCAAAACTACTAGGAACAAAGCGAACAACTCCTAGGGCGAAACTTCTGTAGGGCAGATGACCCGGCGCTCAAAAAACACTTGAAAGAAGCAAACTGGTCGGGGGATCTCCAAGCAGCGACACCTGACAACCTCTGGTTGGAGCTGGTAGCAAACACCCGAACGGCGGTAGACATTGCAGTTCCAATAAGAAGCGTGATGGTGCGAACTAAAGTTCCAACATAGATCAGGAATAGAACCCGCAACCTAGTACATCGAAAACATTCCTCGTGGAACAGATACCAAATCACGAAATCATAACATCATTACGAAATCCACAAAGAACTGCGAAACTGCTGCACTGCTCCACAGCGATCTGACAAGAGACTATTCTAGATTCAACTCTGTAAAAAAGTCAAGGTGAATCCCAAAATTCTCTACAGATATATCTCTAGGGTGACATCGGTAACCGCAGGCATAACGACGATAAAAGACAGCAACGGTGAAACTTCCTGCAACACTGAGGCAGCCAAAGCACTGACCAAACACTTCGAGATGATGTTTGAAAGCACACCGCAACCCAACCACGAGGAGGCCCGGAGTGATAGCGGCCACGTTAGAGGACTTTCATTCATCAACTGTGAAAGAGTCACCATCAAAAAAAACTGCATAAGTTACGCACCAACACCTTCCCG